TGAAGAAAAAAAAAAAAAAAAAGGGGGAGACCCAAATAGCGCAGCATCGATACCAGTATCAAAAACATGAATATTATTAGTCTGGCACTGATCTTTCCCATATCCTCCGAACACATAAAGAAGCTTGCCTCCTCTAATGGCGTTGCATGTGTGGCCCCACCTCACCCCGGGCCCACCACTCCCACCTCTATGCTGCACCTTCTCCCACCTCATCGCATTGTTGTGGACACTCATGCTTTCACAGAAACCCAAAAACAGTAGCAAACAGAAGAATCAGAACCGCACAGCTCGAGAAATGGAGCGATTTTGAACGGGGAACAAAACCCCCTCGCGAGGAAAAATGATAAACGTTTTGAAGGTGAAGATGAGAAATTATGCAAGAATTTGGTTCATCGAGATATGGGTTTAAGGCCTTTTTCATTAATGGCGAATTAAACAGCCCAACTAGAGAGATTAGTACGTGTGGATATGCTTTCAGTGTGGTGAGGAAAATTGATTAGGGCTTGGCTTCATTCAGTGAGACTGATGTTTAGGTTGAGATTGGTAAAACGAGAAAAAAAAATTAATAATAATAATAATAATAAATAATAATACTGCGTGATACTACAAAGTTTTTATATTAATGACAATTTAGTATAAAATAAATTCCATTAGAGATTAGTATAAAACACTCGTTTATTACAAGTAATAGGCCGGTAAACAAGCCCCACTCGAGTTTAGGTGCTCGGCAATTAGAACATCCACAATGTTTTGAGTTCGATAACAAAAAATTATATGTCACATAAAAAATAGACCAAGTTTTAAAATTAATATTGTCCAATGTAAATAAAAGTAGAGTAGGTCTTGCTGATGTGAGAGTAAAAGAAAAGATTTTGTCTACCTTTAAGCTATTTTAGACCTAAGTAGATATATAGTCTTTTGTATTTGGAGTATATTTTGTTAATTTTACATAATTTAATCCATTTCACCTAATAATTGAGTATATTTACATATCACACATCTATTACAAGTAGGCGTATCCCAGTAAACAAGTCGAGTCGAGCTGAACTCGGGTTTAAGGTGTAGCTCGGGTTTAAGGTGCTCGAGCACGAATTTGAACTCGAGCCCTTAACCAACTGAGTTCGTTAAATAAACGAGCTTGACTAACAAGCCGAGTTCGAGCCTTAACGAGCCGTCTCGAGTTTTAACAAGCCGAGCTATAGACTTATATATAAAAAAAAATATTTTATTGAGCTTAATCAAGTTGAGTTGAGCTCGACTCGTTAATCGAACGAGCTTTAAATGAGCTCGAGCTCGAATCGTTTATCAAACGACCCAAGTCGATCTCGAACCTTAACGAAGCGAGCTCGAGGTCAGCTGAGCCATAATCGTTTAATTTAACAACACTAAATACATGGGAACATGTGATAGTTGGTAGCTAAAAAGTTTGTACTTAAATTAAAAAATATATACATATAAAACATTGTTTAAAATACCAAATATTTTTAAAAATTTACAATATCATTTCCATTTAAAACGATACTCGTTATTTACATGACTTATTTGTCTTATATTGTAATAATTTCTCTAACTAATATTATATAATATTTCATAGATAGATTTATTTAATTGATTAGTAACTCCATTATTTAGAATCATACCATATTCATTGTAAAAAAATATATTTCTAATATCAACTTCGTATATAGTTTCAATATTTAGTCTTGAGAGTGATTTGCATTTTTATTTTTTTACCAATTTTATAAATTAAATGAAACTACTTGGTAAGTCTATGAAGTGTGATGCGGACGAGGGTCGTCTTTTCAAGAATGTGTACGTCTATGCCCGACTAGCTCGTCTTAAGGATGTCCAAACTGAAGAAGTTTCAAACCTCGCGCCGCGACACCAACACATCACGGGAGAGCCACGCCGCGAGGTCCCTCACGCCGAGACTGAGGCTAAAGGTCAGCAAATAGTCGTGCAGCGATGCCTACCGCGCTGTGAAGGCGCCCACGTTTCCACGCCGCGAGCAACCTGCGAGGAGGGCCACGAGGTAATAGAGGCTAAAACTATCTTTATCCCTAACCCAATCTAACTCAACCCAACAATTAAATATTATTTATATCTCCTATACTTATACAACTCCATCTTCCAACCCAAATTATCTTTATCCCCAACCCAACTCAACCTAAACATTTATTTTATTTTAATTTATTTAAAAATTACAATTATGTTCCAAAATATATCATGTGTGGTCTCTATTTGTAGAGAATGTAAAAAATAATAATTTTAGTATTTTATGTTTTTTAGAAACAAAAAAATACACTTGTCCAATAAAAATGGACATGTATCCCCATTTTACACAAAATCCCGGTCGCGACCCGAGGTCACAATGTGACCTGGGTCGCGCGCTCTCTGACCTTTTTCTTACTTTATTTTATTTTATTTTATTTTTTTTGGTTTTATTGGCGTGACCCAAAGAGTGGGTCACGAGTAAAAATGGCTTAAGGACTAGTTGATCATCGCGCCAATGACGATGGCCACACCATGAGGCAGCCCAACCATCACTCCGCGAGGGTTGTCGTGTTGCAACGCTCGTGAACATGACAATGGTTCCTAGTAGTTGTAGCATTCAACTTTCAATTCACTTTCAAAATCGTAGGACATTTGGTAGTTTTACATTTTGCGTTGTTTTTGCTTTTAGAACCCAAATTTCAGGTTAATTTTGGATTATTATGCAATAAATTAACAAGAAACGACCGATTCTGAACACAACTACTTGTATCGACTAAGGTCGATTAGTGCAGGTTTACACATATTGTTTACGTTCGATACACGATCTCAACACAGTGCCCCAACTCGTTTAACTCACCTGACCAATTGAATTTATACTTTTCTTTATAAATACTAGTATTGATACCCGTGCGATGCACGGGGCACTATATAAAAATTATTTTTTATTTAAGTATGATAAAATTATTTAAGACAATACGAAATTTTTTTTCTCCATAATATTATATTCTTAAATAATATGACATTTATTTATTTATTTACTATTATTGTTAGCTTCTATATATATATATATATATATATATATATATATATATCTT